AGTCTTTACAAATTGTAAAAAAAAAAAAAAAGAGAACCTTGAAAAAAATGTACAGGTTTTTTTTTTGGGGGGGGTGCCAAGCACAGGATCCGCCCCGGGTGCCAAATGCTCTAGGTACGCCCCTGTCCGAGTGTAGTGTGCATGTTTGTGCAGCGTTTGCGATTGATTGCACGGGTGCATTCATACGTAATGTTGGCATTTGAATTCAGGAATTCAAGATGTATTTCAAGATGTATTTGTGTGTAGTATTTGTGTGTAGTATTGGTGTTTGAATACAGGGCTGTATTCAGGTCTAATGTTGGCATTTGAATGCATGGATGTATTTTGTGTGTTGTGTGTATGAAAGTAAGCATGATTTATATGGAGTGTATGGAGTGCGTGATTACAAGGGTGTATTTGTGTGTAGTATCGACTGGACTTGGGGAAACATTCAGCCTGGGCATTTTTGCATCACAGTGGTCCACTGAGAAAAGTGGTGAAGCCAGTAAGCATGTTGGTTCAATGTGCAGAGTTCTGCTGAAGAGCTGTTGCATGAGAAAAGGGCTCTGTATTTATTTAGAAATGTATTAATATGCTTGCGCTGTTTGCTTGTGAATGGTATCTGGTGTCTAGGGATGTGAATGGGAAAAATATTAGGTTCAGTTCAGCACTTCGGGACTTTGGAAGTTCTGGACTTCGGAACTTGGGGTAAGTGTAGGATTAGGGTAGGGTTTTTGGTAAGGTTAGGGGTAGGGTTAGGTTAGGGTTAGTTTAGGAGTAGAGGTAGGGTTAGGGTAGTGTTAAGGGTAGGGTTAGGTTAGGGGTAGGGTTAGGGATAGTGTTAGGTTAGGGTTAGGTGTAGGGTTAGGGTTGGGTTAGGAGTAGGGTTAGGCATAAGGTTAGGGATAGGGTTAGAGTAGAGTTAGGGTTTGTTTAGGAGTAGTGTTAAGGGTAGGGTAGAGTTAGGGGTAGGGTTAGGGTAAGGTATAGGGTTAGGGTTGGGTTAGGAGTAGGTTTAGGAGTAAGGTTAGGGATAGGGTAGGGATGGGTTAGGAGTAGAGTTAGGGTAAGGTTAGGGGTAGAGGTACTTCTAGCCCTACCCTAACCCTATTCCTAACCCTACCTCCTAACCATACCCTAACCCTTGCCTGTCTGTCTGCATAATTTGATATACGTCTGTGTGCATTTTTTCATACTGCAAGTATGCAGACTTGTGTGGATGGGGCTGATGGCCCTTCGTTCACCCCTACCACCCCTCTTCCCCCCATCCCAATGGACAACGGACTTATGCCTTCAGAAGAATTCCAAGCCCTTCTAGATTCTACTATGGTGGCTATGTCCTCCTCCATATTGCAGACTCTAGCTCAGGCTTTTGCCTAACCTCAAGGGTCACCTACAATTTCAGTCCCTGTGGTTAAGTCAGTGCCTATGGCCCACAAAGCACGTGCAAAGACTAGGCACGTCTCGCCTCACTCTCAAACTCAGGTCAGACCTGCAGAGATTGACCCGCATATGGCAGTCCCAGCTGGCGCGTTCCCACCGTGCACAAGAGCCACAGGTAAGGCAAAATTGGCCAGGAAATTAAAATGGGCACAATCAACTCTCCGACTCCTTGTTAACGCTTGATCCCCGGGTTCTAGATCTGCCTATCAGACCACCTGGCGTTCATGGGCTGGTTGGTGCTTGGAACGCTCACTGGATCCAGTATCTGCACCTTTGAACATGGTCCTTCAGTTTCTGACTTCACTGTTCGACGTGGGGAAAGCATATTGAACTGTGAACGTATTTAGATCAGCTATTTCTGCAGGACATCAGGGCATCGACGGATCTCCCATTGGTAAACATGCTTTTGTCTGTCGACTCCTAAGGGGGATCAGACTCTCGAGACCATCTCGAGCTAGATATACCTCCTTTTAGGATGTCAACCCTGTTTTGCATCTCCTAGAATCTTGGTTTCCAGGACGATACCCTGTCCCTCAAGCACCTCTCGTGTAAATTGCTCATGCCATGTTGCTAGCTATCCTGTTTCAGACGTGAGAGTACTTGATTGGAATGCACTGACTTTCCTTCCTAAGGGTGTCTCTTTTGACATAATACGGAGGATGAAGTCAGCTATCAAGACGGTTTTCTACCCGAGTTTTCCATACAATTGTGCCCAGTTCCATGTCTTAAATCCTACTTTGAACGTACAAGCTCTCTGTGTTCCCCAAATCAACACCAGCACTTCATATCATTCAAGAGACCTCAACTTCCTGTATTTACGACTACTCTGGCACAGTGGGTGCGAGATTTATTAGCGGGAGTGGATACCTCCATATTTTCGAATCACTCCGTCAGAGGAGCGATGTATTCTAAGGCTTCAGTTGTGGGTTGCCTTAGGGCTGCAGATTGGTCACATGATTCTACATTTCGTACAATGTATTTCCGGCCTATTCATCATTTTTCTTTGCTCAGTTTTTAACTTGCATAATAGGAGCCTCCATGTCAAAAGTTCCCAGATTTTACTACTAGCATGAAGTAAAATCATGATTTTATTAATTACATGGTGGTGAGTATTATTCCCTCCCGCCCTCCCTGGGTGTGGGTGACTCTGATAAAATGGACGCCCCACGGTAAGTAAGAGTAAGTATTTTGAGATTTATCCGGACGTTTATCTTGGTCTGGGCGGTCAGGTTCTTGAACTATTTCTGTCTTACATTATGTGACTTGGAGTCCATAGGATGAATATTACCATCTACTTTCTTTCTTGACAGCTTAATCTTCTCTGGATGGTTCTGTTTCCGGTTACAAGGTTGAAAGTTATTGTTTTCTTCAGTGAGCTGCTCTTTGGTCTAAGAGCAAAGAAGAGGAAGAGATCCTTGGGAATATGCCTTTCATAGACTGTACTACTTCGTGGTTGGCTGCCCTGTTTCTATGCAGTTTTTTGTTATATGTATACATTTATTTAAGTACAAATATTTTTTCTCTCATTTTGCTGCTGAGGGAAAATAAAGAAAAAGATTGCATAATACTCGCCTCCGTGTCATAAATAAAATCATGACTTTACGTAATTTTAATAGTAAAATCTGGGATTGGCTGACACCAAACACTATTGTTGTATAATGTCAGCTGAGGGGAACACTAGGCGGATACTAGGTTTAGAGGGACTTGACCTCAAGCACATGCATGTTTAAAACAGAGAGGCACCTGACTTCTGGTGCGAATGGCAGCTTTGTGCTAGAGCTCCGCAACAGCAGGCGATATAATAGCTGTGAAACCCATCATGCACTTGAACCAGGGACTGACCCTCCGCACCGCCCATTGACTAAACATGGTAGGTGGCAGAAATTCATAACACAGCTTCACAGTGGCCCCAATTTAACAAGGCCGCGGCGAGCGGGACCCGCCACGTGGTGATGGCGTACCAGACTCAGAAATTTAATCCGAAGCAAGTGACCACAAATTACAAATTAAATCTAACAAAATCAGAACTCCTGCCAGTCCACATTGAAAGACCAGGGCTAGAGCACTTAAGAGACCAATTCCCTTTACGCATCTTTCACTCAACCACCTACCTTGGTATTCAACTAACAAACGACGTGATGAACCTCTATGACACAAACTATACCCCCTTACTGCGTAAAGCACATAATGATCTTACGCGATTGCGAGCCCTGGGGATCTCCTGGTTGGGGCGCATCGCCTCAATCAAAATGAATTTCCTGCTTAGATTCCTTTACATTTTTCAGACTCTCCCCATACCATTCCGCAA